ATGACTTGCAATATTCTATGTACACTTAGCTAGTTAGCTACCTGATTTTAAAAATAAGGTTCATATTCTTAGAGCTACACATTGAATACAGGTAAATCACATTTAATGCAGGAGATGGATTACAGAGCAGAAGCAAGAAGTGGGCTTAAATTCAGGTTACATTCTTCATTTATTAGCAAAAGTCAATTGAATTGCTTTGTCTAATATGAACACTGTTACTATCCATTATCTTGAAACAATTCAAGTTACAATTTGTAGAAACTTCAACTAGTCTGTAGTTCAATAGACATAAACTTTTTATTACTTTAACAAGCCCTTGCAATTTCTGAAAAGTATATTGTTCTAACATGGGGCCAGTTCACAGAAACATTAAATCCGTTGCTCCGCCTTGACTATGCATGAGTGCTATCACTAAACCAATATGCATTGTTCATTTTGGCTGAATCGAGGATAAATATAACACGGATACCCCTTTTGCACTTCCTTTCTGCAACAGGGAATTATATGGGAAATTTAGAGATGTACTAGTTCCAGAAATGTATCTGGAACAAACAAGAAGACGAGTCCTTATCATGGAATGGGTTGAGGTGAAATCTGCACTCTCATTCACTCGTTAGCAACTTGAACAGCGCATAGGCAACCCTAGTTACTGGCTTATACTGTGGTCTTTTAGGGGGAAAAACTGTCAGAAGTCAGAGACCAATATTTGGTTGAGGTAAGACCAGTGCATATATAAGTGATTGAAATCTTGTACCTCACTATTAGTAACACCGTTGACCAGATAGATCTGCTGACATTGTTACCTCACAGGTCGGAGTATACTGCTCACTTTCTCAGCTTTTGGAATATGGATTTTACCATGCAGATCCACATCCTGGAAATCTTTTGCGTACAGTTGATGGGAAGCTAGCGTATTTAGGTAATAATTGTGTTATTCTGTTTCTGCCTTTAATGTTTCTGATTTTTTAGTCTTGGTAATGAGTTAGTTCCTAAATTTACTCATTTGCTACCCTTTACATGAATCTTGTTCCATTTTAACTATCTGAAACATTTTGTTCTCTATGTAGATTTCGGAATGATGGGAGAATTCCGACAAGAACTTCGTGATGGATTTATTGAAGCCTGTCTTCACCTTGTTAACCGTGATTTTGATGGTTTAGCAAAAGATTTTGTTACTCTCGGGTAAGAATAAGCACTAACATCCAGTTGGCGCTGGGTATCTGTGTATCCCCATATCTGACCTATCTTTAATTTCTGCAGTTTACTTCCTCCAACTGCTCAGAAAGATGAAGTGACAAAAGCATTGACAGGTACTCCAGATCTAGATGGATGCTAGCATGCTAAGAAAAGAAATTACTGAACCTTAAAGTCGCTTTACCCTGCTACTGCTATCCTTGTTACGTTAATTTTGGATCATTAATGATGATATAATAACATATGTCCATTTGGCACAACTCACAATTCCCTGTTTTTAATATCTCAGGTGTATTTCAAAATGCTGTTGACAGAGGGGTGCAAAATATAAGCTTTGGAGATCTGTCAGGGAATCTTGGTCGAACTATGTACTAATCTAGTTTATGAAACCCTATTTTACAAAAATAAATGGGGTTTATATCAAACTGTTGATTCTCTATAAGACTGCTCTTAACTAGAGTTAATCTTGTTTCAGGTATAAATTCAAGTTCCAGATACCTTCTTACTTCTCTCTTGTAATTCGAAGGTAATAAGTTTTCCCTAGCGTAGGTATCACTCTCTACCAGTAACTATATTTATTAACGGACAACAAACATGCAAATTACTACTCTAGAGGTCTAAAGATGATGCTGCCTTGCTGTTTTTTACATTTGAAAGGTTTTTGATGTTATTTTTCAGCCTTGCTGTCTTGGAAGGCATTGCAATCAGCTTCAATCCCAACTACAAAGTCTTGGGCAGTTCATACCCATGGATTGCAAGAAAAGTTCTCACAGACAGCTCACCAAAGCTCCGATCAACTTTGCAGACGCTTCTTTATAAGGTCAATTAACCTTTTAATTTTCAGGCAATTATAAATTATGATGAAACAAGTGACCATGCTAGCAAGTTTGCAAAACCAAAGAAGATAATAGGAATACAGGATTGTTTAAATTTTACTTTGGGTTTCAGGTCTAAGATTCTCTACTGCAAGTGGAACTTCTGTCAGTCATGACTAACCTTTTTATCTTCCCTCCAACTAAATGTATAGGATGGCACTTTCCAGATTGACCGTTTGGAGTCTTTGCTAACTGAGGTTGGTTAATTTCCCACATGTTTAAGTGTGTTCTGTTGATCTTAATTGTATGATATAATTGCTTTTTTATTTCTATGGTATGACATGGATAATTAGAATATTCTATGACCTATTTTGACTTGACTGGTTCTAGAGCTGATTGACGGTATTTTGATTAAAATCTAGAAACCAGGTAGAAGCTGACTGGTTTTCAGCAAATGCATCCTTTCCAGTTTTATGAACCCTGTTCCAACCATTTTCTCAGAAAATGTCTCCTTTTGTTTTCTTGTTACAGTCGCTTCGAGCAAGAACAGAGCAGTCCCTGACCAGGGATCAACAAGAGGAAACTGATAGTTCCAAATTTGCAATTAAACAAGTCTTGTCATTTACTCTTACTGAACAGGTAAAGTGAACTACGATTCTTTAATATTGAACTCCCTCTAGGTAATAAGCCAAGATTGATATCGATGGTCGAGCATTTGAAACTTTTTGTTCTCTTTCCAGGGTGCCTTCGTGAAGGATTTACTTCTTCAGGAGATTGCTAAGGTCAGTTAACTCGTTAGAGGTGCAGTTTTCATGTTTGTTGGCTTGAATCTTGATTATCAACCAACATTCTGACTGTTCTGAATAGTTATTCACATGGAAAAGAGCACTTGAACTTAGTGATGGGGGGGGGGGGGGGGGAACCAGTTCATTTATGAGTTTTCGGTTCATCATAAATCAGATATAACTGATTTTTGCACGTTCTATGCCATGGGTACTAGTGAGGCAGCTAGCAGGTAATATGAATTAGAAATTGTGTTCAGGGAAGTTCTAATTGATATAGACTTTGCAAATAAAGCAGGAAATTCATTTTGTTTCAAAGAATTGAGAACTTTGGAATAAAATACTCCCTGTGATTCATCTACCTTTGGTTCCTAATTAATCCTGATTTAGTTTACAAGATAAGGAATTCTCTTTGGCATCATGAATCTTTCCTTGAATTGATATATATGGCACCTTTTTTATAGGTTACATAAGCTATGCTTTCTCAAGCGTTGTATTTTCAGGGATTAGATGCACTTGGAGCTGCTACATTGAGTTCTGCAACATCTGCTGCAGCCTCCAGATTGCCGTTTGCTGTTCCATCCCCATCACCCTCACTAGACAATGAGGATGCCACTAACTTGAGAAATTTACATCGCCTTCTCCTACTTTTGTCCAAGGTCCCTCAGAAGGAGGATTCATCTCCAGTAAGTAAAATTTTCAATAAAAGATCACTTCTCAATTTTTCACATTTCTTAATTATAGTAGGTGTGGGTGAAATGCATAAAATGCCCTGACCCCCTGGCTATAAACGATTGTAAGAAAGCATTTGGCATATACAGAACTGAATTCTGGATTAAATTGAGAAAACGACTATGTAGCATTATCTTTACAAAATGATGTTTAACTGGCAAATCACAATACCGGCAAACCTCCCAAATAAATGACCCGGATTTGCAAAACTACCCTATTAGAACTCAAATTGGAAAATGTACTAGGAGTAGTGGAGTACTATTTGAGTCTTTATACTGTACTACGATTCCTCATTCTATGCAATCCTTTTTGCAGATTCCAGGATACAATAGCACTGAGGAGAACGAAGGTGATAGTACAGATGAGATTTCTCTTGTGTTATATGAAATGAGATCTCTACCAGAGTTGTTGCCAGTACTTTCTGTCATTCCTGAGGTAAGAATGGAAATACAAGTAGGATATGGAAATACAAGTAGGATGGAAATGTATATCAGGATCGACGTTGAATATGATCTGTAGCTTTTGAGCTCTCACACTAATGCAGTAATGCTCACCTTAACGCAGCTTCCACCAGAGTCCCAACAGCAGTTTCTCCTCCTGCCAGCAGATTTAACTAATCGTCTTCTGTCTCGCGCTGTTGCAAGAACCATCAGAAGAATATTCATATGAAGATAGAGCATAAAGGTACACATTTCCAATCTCTGCTACATGAAATATTTTTATTTAATTTTTTTTGAGAAAGCGCTAAATGTTCATAGAAATTTTCCCCCAAATAGTACCACTGCCTTCTAAGCTAGAAATCCAGGATCCGTCTTATTATTCACCATGACTAATTTTGAGTTGTAGTTAGTTCAAAAAAAAATGAATTGTAATTCTTCATGTGACAATACAGTTCTTTTCGGGAATCATGTATTACATATATTTTTAAAAAGGAATGTGGTCTTATAAAGCCTTTTCTCTATGCTTCATTACAACATGGCTGTGTCGGCATTAATTACTCTCCATAAGCACTGTTCGTGCGTGTGGACAACAACCACGGACGTTGCTATAGCACCATGTTATTTTCCTTATTTTAGAAATAATATTAAATTGAATTGTTTGTTTCTTTTATTTTAAAATTTTGTTCCTTAAAGGTTAAGTTATCGCATCTATATTAGGATGGGACCAATCTCTGCAAAGCAAGCAAAGATGAATAAATAAATCCGTTGTCCCTAAATTCTAAACAAGTATCTAAACTCCAGCTCTGGTGTTTTCCATGGTCGGCCATTTTAGATCAATTCCTCCCTCAATCAGTGCCCTCCTTCACCTAGCATCTCTGTACTTCAGTCGGCACTGTCCAACCTCTCTCCCGCGGCTGTTTACCCTGATGATGACCAAGGATCATCACAATGACACTACTGCAATTTGACTTAGAGGATGGATTTGTGTAAATATTTCTTTTGTTTCTGAATCTGTCAGGAAGGAAGAGATCAGGGAATCGGCACAAAACACAACACAAACTTTTCTTTCAATTGAAAGCTATTACTTATCCATTTACACAAGTTCAAACTCAAATCACCCTCCTTCATACTGGGTGACTAACAAGTTCATGCTATACTAAGAAACACGCCTTAGGTATATGCGATAAATACAACAGAACAAACAAGAGATTTTGTTTGTTGATGTGCTTTTAACCACCCAAAAGTGGTTAGTTTCTGATCATTGCCTTCTCAGTAAGAAAGCTCTCCATCTTTAGCAATGCCTGGAGGAGTGGAAATTGAATTTTTTTAGTCAGGAATAATTCGATACATCAGATTAGACCAAGGAAAGAATACCTCAATAGCAATGGCACTTGGTGTAAGTGTCGTCACATTACTATGTCCTTGTTTCACTGCAATATCTGCAATATGGTATTAGATAGTTAAATACTGTGAAACAATGGATTAACAACTGAATATCGGATGAAAGCACCACAGCTGCTGGGTCCATTATTAGTAGTAAAAGCTAAAATACACCAGAATGAAAATTCAGGTAACACATAGCAGTGCTGAAACCTACGTTCGAGTGAAACCCTGGCATCAGCATTAGCATATGAGTCCATTCTTTGTTCAAAAAGTGCAGTCAGTTTTGCATAAGCCTGTATGAAAAAAAACAATAGTTATTAGCACTGTCCACATGCCGAAGATCCAAATTACATAGCATAATAAACAAGAGTGGCTACCTTTGCATAAGGATCACCAGATTCTTGATGCAAGAGGGGCCGAGAAGCAGTTCCTACTGCAGCAATTCGTCTTGCAAGTGCATCCAATGGAACATCTAACCAGATTGTTGACCCTTTCTTCATGTAACTCCTGCAAATTTCACACAGCAAACTTAGTAAGCATTGCTTTTGAAGAGCAATTCAGGGTAGTTTATCACTTCCAGTACCAATTGATTGGTCGGATCACCGCACCACCTCCGGTTGCAACAACTAATCGATGCATTGACGACAAATCCCTTAGTACCTCACTCTTGAGAAGTCCAATGAAACAAGAGGATATCAGAAAACTTTCTTATCAGGAGCTTGAATAGCATCGTTATATACCCGCCACTACTAGACCAAGATGGGAAGAGAATGGCTTGGATTCTGATTCATTTTTCATACCAAGAAAAGAAATGGAAATAAGTCTCATGTCTCTAGAGAAACAAGCGTATACCTCATTATCTCTGAAGAATGCTTCACTATGGAGCTGAAAGATTTCAGCAACAGATGATATGCCAACTGCCTTCTCAACCAACTTATCGCTATAATGAGGAAACATCAGTAACATTTCTGAATAATGGACAGAAGTTGCTTCAAATTCTAGGTTGGCATCATCAGATACAATCATACGAATGCAAACCTGTCAAAGAAAGAATAGCCTAATACTTCAGCTAATATCTTCCCAACTGTAGTTTTGCCAGAACCCATCATTCCTGTTTATTTGGACAGTACGAATATTAGAATTAGACGAGAGTTCCAATATGATGAAACGCACTTAAGCAAGGCAAGAACTAACCAACTAAGTAAATACACCGGTCATTCAAATAAGGGACCACGTCCTCTGCTTTTTGCTGCAGCGAACAGGGACATCAGTTATATACTTGTACCAACGGAAGTTTGCAGCTTGTCAAATGGACATGCTTCCATGTAAATGAAATCACAATTACGCATAATTTCCTAACCTTTAGAACAAGAGCTTCATCAGCAGAGTAATAGGTTTTGTCAATACCTGCAAGCCATACAATGCATGTCATACCTTGATCATTGATAACATCTCGTTAGAATAGGTAGACAGGTAATTCCTAGTGCAATTGTGCACACAATTAATCTTTTCTTCTCTGGAGTCTGTAAATCGCTAAATTCTTCTTGCTTGCAGATTGGTAGTAGTTATATCTAGGTACTGTTCAGAAATATATACCAGTGTAGAGTATTTAAGTTTGTTAGTTAGCAGTGGTGGAGCTAGCACCACCGTTGAGCTCGGGTTACTAATAACGTTCCGGTGATCGACTGGTTTTTAACATTATAGGCATCGATGAGACGATGACTGTCAGTACTCAGTAGTGGAGATGGTAGCTCGGAGCCCGGACAACCGCCCGATCTGCTCTTTAGCTGTCTCCCTTGCTAGTGAATTACCACTAATAGGTCCTCTAAAAAGACACAAAATAGGGATTGTGTTGCGAAATGCCACTATAACATATTAACACATAAAAGAAGGCATACTCTCCAACCAACTCTCTATCTTGCTCATATCCTATCCCATTCTCTATCCGTCCCTTATCACTCCCTAAATGTGGGAGCATCTTATCCCTTTTTGACGTTGCATGACATCATTGATTTGGGTTATAGTATAAGATATTGATAAAATATAGATGGACGAGATATAAGGAGTCAAATATAGGGAGCTCACTGTAGCATGCAAAAAAAAAATAGAGAGACAATTTGGATGAGGAGGATTTCCTTGGATAGGGAGGCAAAAATAGGGTGATGCTCATTCTGAATTTCTGCTATACCAAATAGCGGTACACCAAGAACAACGCTCTCTTTTGAGTTCCAAAAGAAGAGAACACCCTAACATTGAATTGGATCAACCATTGACATTTCAATGAAGCCCATGATACATTCCTTAACCTCTGAGACATAAGTTGGTATACATTAAACATCTACCCACTCCATGATTAGGTTTATGTCCATTTCAATGTCTACTTGCAGCTGATGCCTGATGTGGAACGAATAAGTCCCAACACCCTCCACTAATACTGATTCCACAACTAGGCCAAGAAACTTCAGTGGTAACCCTGCAACTTCGCCATTTTCCATTTAGACCCTTATGTTCTTTGGATTCACATAGTCGTCCTATCTTCCTTCTTTGATCCTATCCTTCAGTCCCTTCCTCAGTTGCCGCGTGTACACCTGAATACTGAAGCGTGTCGTGCTCACAATTGTTTCAACCAGTTAAGACCAAAACTACTTTTTTCTGAAATCATCGCTACGACCAAAAATTTTACGACGGTTTCAGATGAAAATTCAAAGAGTCCTGGTCGTTGACACAGACAAATCACACATCCATATCCAGAGCAAAGCTCTAATTAAAGAGGCACTAATAGAACTGCTTACCTGCCGGTTTCCTGGAACACGAAACCTTCAGTTTGGCACCGCAGCTCCGGCGATCAGAGCCCAAAACCAACGGCTGAGCGAACTTCTCCACCGCGAACCTCACCGGAACCCTCGCCGTGGAAGAGCGGCGTGGGTTTCCGAGTCCGGCCCAGGCGCCGGGCTTCGCCCGGAGACCCACACCGGCGTCCATCTCCTCTCCAAATCGATCAGACCCGACAACGACAGGGTCTTAATTATTCCTGATTGTTGGAGACGGGATTGGATTTGCCGGCCATCGCCGGATCAATGGAGAACTCGGCGGCGGCGGCGCCGCCGCGGAGGAAGAGGAGGAGGATTCTGTGTGCAGGGACGAGCGGAGGGAGAGGGACGGAAGTGGAGATTGGTCCCGTGCGAGGCTTTATATACTACTTGTAGTTGTACGAGGCTGTTTTGTTTCAATGAAGCGGGTTTCTTGTCTTGAGGTCCAACACGTTGTCAATATTTTAGGAGATGGCATAATGCTTACTCCAATAAAAATTGGACTCACATGAGAATGCACGTTCATTTGAAGAAAAAGCTAGGCTGATATCCAAACAAATCTCATACCTACATTAGGGTGAGACCAAAATTAAGTTTGCATCATGTTAAACCTTCAATCTTTGATGTTTCTTTAGCTCTACAGTTATCATGCGGTATTTGTGTAGTTTGTCATTCCTTTTCTTATCCGGACCTTTTGAGTCATTACCAATTTGTCTTTCTTTTTTACAACAGAGAAGCATGGCTTCTCCCTCTTCCATTAATGGAAAAGAAAGGTTAGCAATTTGTCTTGTGCTCTAACCTTTAAGGTTTGTGTTCTTCATAATAGATTGAGAACCCTTTCTCCTTAGCACGTAAAACGAAACAACATATTAGCGCATAAGTATTAGCAATATATTAATATAATTTTGAAGCAACTTTCTTTTAATTTTATTTCATAAAAGACGCATCATTTTAGTCGTTTGGAAACGTGCACGTGAAAAACAATAGACTAGAAGTTAAAAAAATTGGAAGAAAATAATACTAAGGCCCCGTTCGATCTCCAGGAGTGGAGATAGATTTTTATGGCACGAAAAACGAGAAATCTCATTAACACATGATTAATTAAATATTAACTATTATAAATTTGAAAAATTGATTTATTTGCTTTTTTAAAACAACTTGTATATAGAAACTTGTGTAAAAATAATTTACCTTTTAACTGTTTGAAAAACGTGCTGATGGAAAATAAGACCTAAGTTGTCTATAGAGCACAACCCTTTTAAACTAGACATCAAAACCAAAATTGTAACCTCTATTAGTCTTTTTTTTCCTTGTTGATGCAGTGCGAACTGTAAGATAGACTAATACACAGAGCTGCCACACGCCAGCTAGACATAGCTATACATGGAGTGGGTTTTTTTCCCGCTGGTTTTTCAGATACCGCTAGAGAGAACTAGGAAGACTTCCAAAGTTTCAGTTGGCACCAACTACAACGCTTCACCCAGGACGCCACTCAAGAGTCAAATCTACTCGCAATAGGATAGCACTAGACACTTTCTTAAGCCTCTCCACCAAACAAAAACAAGCATGGTTGCTGGTCGGTTCTGTCACATTCTGAAAACTACAGGGATCCAGCCGCAAAAAACACATACGGTATTCCAATTTTACCCTTCACCGAACACGAAGCGAGTGGTGGCTGCTTCAGTAGAAGTGAGGGGCGTTTTGGGCTTTTATGGGGCAAAATGGCTAAACTCGATGGGGTCCCTTGGGGTTGGTTGGGTGGGCCTTGGGCCGGGATATGAGGCAAATATCTCTCCCCCGGTTGATCCAACTACCACCGCTCCCCGCACGTCCGATGCCACGTCGGAGCGACGCGGCCGTGGGTTGGTGGCCGATGGCGACGCTGCGTGATCGAGAGAGGTGAGACGTCCAAGCTCTCACAAAAAAGTTCCCTTCCTTCATATAAGCTTCAAGTGACTCACGACAACTTGGTACTTGAGTTAAAGCTGAGTCTTTGCTTTGTTTGTAGGCTGTGTTTAGTTCAGCATAAAATTTAGATTTTGGTTAAAATTAGAGATAATGTGACTGAAAAGTTGTGTGTATGACAGGTTGATGTGATGAAAAATGATTGAAGTTTGGATCTTTAGATCTAAACACAGCCCTAGTTGATTCATGAACTTCTTTCTTCTTCTTTTCTTTTGCTGATTACACAGCACATGCATACGTATACGTACGCTCACTCTTTACGGATGTAATGTAAGAGATGGAAGCCTGACAATAATAAATCCGTGACCCTCTGGTTCTTCCTCTATTCTCTTGGACTTGCGTGTTTTACGCGTGTCAATTCTCTGCACGGTTTACAACTTCTGTTTCAGTCTTATCTTTCGCTCATTGGTTTATAAGCCATCGTCAAGATTTTAATTTTAATTTTTAATTTTAAAGCTGCTTTTTTATGTTTTTCTCAGCAAAGTTTATTTTTAACATTGATTTTTAATTCGCTGAAGACGAATATATAAAAGATTTACTCTAAGATTATTTTTTATTACTAATAACCTGTACAGCTTTATAAAATATAATCAGCATTACGCTAACTAATACTAGCACGTTTGGTGTCTCCTGAGTGTGAGAACTTCTTTTTCTTTCTTTTCTTTTTTTTTTTTTTGCTTTTTGTGTGTGTGCGTGTAGATTGAACTTGGGTTATTGAAAGACGATGAGATATACATAAGAAAATCGGTGTGATAAAGACTTAATCGTGGCAGCTCTACCCCGGTGTTTACCAACCCATCCCCCCAAATTTCAAGAAACAACAACCTTGTTTTGTGTTTTCTGCCTTTCTTGTTCAAGAACAACGGCGCATGGGGAATGAGGCTTGTTGATGACCGGAAGGTGCACGTCGTACACTAGGACAGTTTGGACCATTCGGTGACTGGTGTTGTTTGCTGTACTATAGGCATACCACAGTTTAAGCTTATCCATCTAGATCGGAGCAGCAGCTCAGGAATTTTAGCAAGCAGCCAAGCAGACCCATGATAAATTATATATGATGCATTATTAGGCATAGTTGCATCAAACCTGTTATAAATATCGTTACGTGGGGGCCGATTAGATCATGGCGCTCAAATATCATATGTTTTCATATCGGCCCCCATGGAGAGAAAGGTACGATATCCTGCCATTGACATAACAGAATCTTGTGTTCATATCATATGTTTTCATATCGCCAATGTGCGTGATATGCAAGTACGAAAGAAAATGGAGTAGTACGTAGTATATCCTCTCTTTTTCGTCAGCGGGATGTCACACAAATCTGCAAACTTTTCCATGGACAATGGCTTTTGCCTCTCTTTTGGAGCGCAAAGCCGCAAACACAATTCACTCGGGCCTTCGCGCCTCAGGAAATGTGGGCTAGGCAACTAAGCCTGCTGGGCCGCGTGAAGGATAGGCCTGGTCCGGCCCTACTCAAACTTGCGTTGCGTGTGCTCCGGAATGCCACGTACGCATGGAGGTATAGAAATCTTTATTTTCTCGATTACACGGCAGACAAATATCACTGCACACGCAACACCACATTCACATATCCACAAAAACGTCTTCTAACACACCCCTAAGAGAGGGAACATCTTTAATCTCAGCAAAATCCGTTAAAAGTTTACTTGTATATGCATAATATTTATAGGCATCAGGTTTTAAACTTTGGTGAGTAAAATTATACACCCACGACTCCACCATGACACCACCAGCACACTACAGAGGTACAAAAATCTTGTTCTAGAAAGGAGGAACATCAAAGCCCTTGAGAGCAACGATTTGAAATTTTGAATTGAATTGAATGGACGAAAATGAGCTAATTTCCCTTCCAATCAATTACACTTGCGGAAATTTCTTTTTCCAAAGATTACAGTTGCAAATCGACCCTCCAAATAAATCAAATGTTAACACCCACAGCAAAAGACCCACCCCCGAGGATCCAATTCTCTCCAACGGGGGAGTCCGTCCTTATTACACCCCCCATTAACCAATTCTGATTTCTGACGGCCACTCGTAATGCAAATTCCCTTGACGAATCCAATTCCAAACTCCGTGTATCAATCAGATCAGAGGCCCTTCCTCACTAGCAAATCTCCCGTTTAATTCCAACTCCTAATCAATTTAAACCCTCAGGTTGAGCGTGTGCTTGAGGTCGCCGACGTGCAGCGTGTGGCTGCCCAGCGCCACCTTCCGGTTGCCGAGCTCGTCGACGACGCTCAGGTCCTTGCACACGTCCACCTTGAACGCCACCACGCCGGCCTGGCCGGGCTCCAGCGACACCTTCTCGAACCCGAGCAGGTGCTTCGCCGGCGCGCTGTGCACCGACGGCGGCGACGAGAAGAGGAACACGGTGTGCCCGCCGGCCATCCCGCCGGCGTTCCGCACGCGGAGGTGGACGTCGAAGGACAGGCTCCCGCAGTGCTCGCCGGCGGCCTCCACCGAGAAGCAGTGCTCGGTGTGGCAGGCGTGGCCCTCGGCCAGCTGCACGGCCACCTGCTCCGGCGCCGACACGAGGCTGTGCGCGAATTTGGTGTAGCTCAGGCCGTCGCCGAAGGCGTACACCGTGTCGCCGGTGTAGAACCGGTATGTCCGGCCGGGGTAGCCGGTCGACGAGTCCGGCCGCATGCGCATGTCGGTCATCGAGACCTTGTCGGCGAACGACGCCGGGTACCACGTCACCGGCAACCTTCCACCTGAACAGTATGGTGATCAGCTCAGCTCACATGTCAAAAAACTTCTTCTGAGAAAGAGAACAATTCAGAGATGCAATGCACTCACCAGGATTGTGGTATCCGAAGAGGATGTCGGCGAGGGCGGCGCCACCGGCTTCGCCGGGGTAGCCGACCCAAAGAATGGCGGAGATCTTGTCGCTGGACTTGGCGAAGGAGATGTCGAACGGCCCGCCGGACATGACGACGAGGATGACGGGGCCCCTGGAGGCGTTGGCGACAGCCGAGACGAGCTGCGGCTGCTGTCCTGGCAGGAGGAGGCTCGTCCTGTCCAGGCTCTCGCGCTCCACGGACTGGTCGGCGCCGACCACCAGCACGGTCACGTCAGCGCTCGCCGCGGCCTGCGTGGCGGCGCTGAGCTGGAGGCTGTTCCCGCTGCACCCGACGTTGGTGCATCCCGGCTGGTACACGGTGGCGACGTTGGCGCCGAGGCCCTGGAGCGGCGTCGTGTACTTGCACGGCGTACCTGCACCATGACATCACCAGCATTCATCCGATCAGTGCACGAGAATATAATTCTCTTCTTGACCGATCAAATCAGCTTGTCCAGAATTGGTGTCACCTTCGTAGTTGCCGATCATGGTGAAGCTGGCATTGGCGTTGGGGCCAATGACGGCCATGGACTTGATGGACTTGGCGGAG